AAATTTGTTCCTCTTGGTTTCTGAGGACAAGACAAGGAGTAATGGGCTTAAATTGTAGCAGGGGAGGTTTAGATTGGACATTAGGAAAACATTCCTAACTGTCAGGGTGGTCAAATATTGGAATAAATTGCCAAGGGAGGTGGTGGAATCTCCCTCTCTGGAGATATTTAAGAACAGGTTGGATAGACATCTGTCAGGGATGGTGTAGACGGAGCTTGGTCCTGCCTTGAGGGCGGGGGGCTGGACTCGATGACCTCTCGAGGTCCCTTCCAGTCCTATGATTCTATGATTCTATGAAGAGCACTTTTTGCACAAAAGCGTCCGTGCCAATCTAGACGCTCTTTTGCACAAATGCTTTTAACAGAAAAACGTTTCCGTCAAAAGCATTTGCGCAAAATCATGCCAGTCTAGACGTAGCCTTGGAGCTTAGCCATTGAAATACCATCCCTGCTGAGCTGTAGGTTTCGGTGCCTGGACCCCTCTCCTTCCCAGCCAGTTACCCCTTGGAAGGGGATCTAGGAGAGGCTTTTGCTGGCTTTGGGCTGGGGGGCATCTGCCTGCTCTGCCCCCCGTCCAGGAGGCAAAAGGGGTTGCATCTTGCCAGCTGCCCGAGTCATACCCCCCCCAGGAATAACAGGGCATATGCTCTCACTGGCTCAGCAAGAAGGCCCCTATCTCGCTCTGGCAGCACATCTCTGTACTAGCACCGCACAGCGAGGGGGCTGCCTTTGTTTCCCTTGTCTCCCTCCACCTGCCCTCCCCAACCCACACTCCTAGCAACTTGCTTCTGCTGCATCACCTGCTAGACAGAGTTTCCCCGCCCTCCCCACGACATGCCATCTGATCAAGTACTCGCAGGGCTCCCTGCTAAGTAACTGGGTCCCTTCTCAGCATGTTATGGCCTCGCTTGTCTGGCTAGCCCGGTTTCTGCAAACAGGCTGAACGTGACCTTCTGAACACCAACCCCAAGCAGAGGGAATTCCTGCTCTGAACGGCCAAACGAAAGCCCGGGGCCGGCAGAGCTGAGTCTAAGATCAATGCGTTTTCACATGTGCACCCACGTCGGTCCCCGCTAGCGATTCCGTTCCACAGCAAAACACTGAGTGCTTCGCAATGGCGTCTCCAGGCCCAGTTCTTTACTCCGCTTTTCCCCTCATTCATGCGCCTGAGAAATCTTCTCTGGGGAGACAGCACCACCTACCGCCCGGAACAAGCTCTGCAAAGAGAGCACTTCCCTGGCCAGCTTTGAAAAGCCCACTGAAATGAGCAGTGTTGCTGTAGCCACCTACCTGCCAGGAAATGAGCCAGACAAGGTAGGGGAGAGGGAATACTGTTTACTGGACTGACTTCTATTGGTGGGAAGAGACAAAAAAAGCTTTTGTACCACACAAGAGCTGTTCCTCAGGCCTGAGCTCCGTGCAGGTTGAAAGCTCGTCTTTGTCTCTTCCACCTACAAACGTTGTCCTGTAAAAGATTCTCTCACCCTCCCTGTCTCTTAGGGTGCGTCTAGACTACAGGGTTTTGGCGACAAAAGTGGACTTTTGTCGACAAAACTATACCTGCGTCCACACTGCCTTTGAGTTATGTCGACATAACGTTGACAAAACTCAGCAGTAAACCTCATTCTACGAGGAATAACACCTTTTGTCGACAGAGTTCAATAGAAGGCATTACTGCATCTACACTGTCCTTTGCGTCTACACTGTTATGTCGACAAAGTGGCTTGCTTTGTCGACAGCACTGGATGTAGTCTAGACGCTCTTTGTTGACAGAAGCTTTGTCGACAGTATCTGTCGACAAAACTCTGTAGTCTAGACATACCCTTAGATGTTAAGCTGACAATGACTCCAATATAGCTTCAGGTCCCACAGCTGGTCTTGCAATCATATTTTATTTTTTGTCTCATTGCTGCAGCAAGACACCCAAAACAGGGGAACTAGAGTAAATGAGGCACATGCTGCCCAGGGCAAGTTTACGCAAACGTCCTTTTAGTTTGTTAATTGCTTAGCTGTGACTTGTAACATCAGGCACATGATTTTTCAGGTGACGACTAACCTGGTGGTCCCTTTGACAAAAGCCATCATTTCTGAGCACTCTGACAATACAGTACGAACTAGGAATGTGACCAGGTAGCCAGCTGATTGGTTACCCAGGAGCAGCCCCCCACCTATGGCCCACCATGGACAGAGTGGCTGGCTCCCAGCCCAGCGCAGGGTCGGAAGAAACCCGGCTGAAGCAGGCCCTGCCCTTGCCACGGTGGCCACTCCACCCTGGCCATGGTGGAATCGGCTTCTTCCCATCCACAAAAGACTCTCAGCTCTATTGCAAGAGAAGTCCATTGTCATACATCTAGAACAGGGTTTCTCAACCTATGGGTCACCATTACATTTCAAAAGGGTTGCCAGGTATCCCTGCTCCCCCTCCTCGCCCCGTTTTTGAATTGCCTTGGGTCACCTGCTCTCCCTCCTCGCTCCGTTTTTGAATTGCCTTGGGTCACCAAGTCTTCCTGAATTGTCAAAATCGGTCCCCATCTGGAAAAGGTTGGGAACCGCTGGTCTAGAAAGTTTGTCTCTACTTGAAAATTAATTCACATTAAGGCAGGGAGCAACATTAAAGCACTACAGCTAGTCCTGAATAATGTCTTGTGTGGACACTCTTGTTCCGGAATAAAAATGCCTAGTCCTGATTCAGCTTAATCCACTTTCAAAATGGATTTATCTTTTACCTTCATATAGCCATCCTGGGGGAATTCTACAATTTTAAACATGGCTCCAAATGCAACTATTGGAGAATTCCCCTAGGACTAATATAGCTCTTCCCTGGAATTCAAACCTCTATGATCTAGGACAGGGGTTCCCAACCTGGGGTACCTGTACCTCCAGGAGGTACGAGAAGCTTGTCAAGGGGGCACAGGGAATATTTGGTAAATAACTAGATTATCCTAATTGAAAAATCCAAAGGTAGTAGTGTTAGTGAAAAACGCTGTGGATTCTAGAGTCTAGAATTTATTTCTTTTCCTACTGAATAGGGGCTATGGAAAGGTTTACTAAAAGCCAAGGGGGTACAGGGACTGAAAAAGGTTGGGAACCCCTGATTTAGGAGAAAGCAGATTCCAGTGTGATGCATTTAAACCTCTGTTTCCCGGGGCGACTGGAGTTCTCAACCAGTCTCCCTGTTCCCTTAAGGCGGGAGCAGCATTTTCATACTCACAATATTCTGCCACCATCATGGGGCTCCTGCATTCCTGGGGGCTGACGTAGACGACCACCCCGGGGTTCTGCTTGGCGAAGTCCAGCACCTTCTCTTCGATGTAGCCTCTGCAGGGAGAAACCGGGGGGAGGGAGGGGGTCAGTCCTGTGCTGCCCACGTGGGTGCCCTGTGGCCCGCCTGGCAGGAGGGAGGGGGCTGCCCCACGTGGGCACAGAATTACCAGGTAGTCTAAAAAAAAATACCGGACACACGTGATTGGGGGGCACCGACCCCGGCGTGTCCTGGAGGGGCAGAGCAC